GGGGCATGAACCCGTGTCCCCTGCATCGGCAGGCGGACTCTCAACCACTGCGCCACCAGGGAAGCCCCCTCTTCCTGCTTTTTAAGAATGAATCAAAGAACATTTGAAGTAAGTATCTTCAGAACATACTAGAAATTGTTTATGTTCTCACTACATTGGGTTTACAGAAAAAAAAAAATTTTTTTTAAGTTTTTCAACTTCTGTAAAATAAATATGAAGAGGGTAAAATTAAATCCATTATCTACTTAAACAGTTCATTATAATATCATATTAACCAGGACAGCTGCTCATTAGTGCTGCAATTGGAATTAAGAGTTATTCAAAGGTTTGCTGAGTACCCAGCAGTACAGAGACTGCTACAGGCACTGGAGGTATGATGATGGACAATACAGTCCCTGTCCCCCAGACAGGGCAAACATGCACACAATCATACCAAATGTGCCAAGTACAGTAATGAACAAGGGACGGTGGCTGTACAGAGGACAAAGGGAATGATCAGCCCTTTACCTGCATTAGTATGGGAAGGAATCACAGAGAAAGTGAAATTTAAGCAGGGACTTGAAAAATGAGGTCACCAAGACCAGCAGGATGAAGAAGGTTTCCAACCCTGATGGACAACCGTTACACCAGAAACAATCTTGGTTGAAGATGTGATTCCATTTGGTCGTGGTGAGTTTGAGATTCCTGCGGGAAACAGAGAGGGAGATGTCCAATAAGCAATCAGCTAATACCAGCCTGAGCAAAAGAAAGTTTAGGCTTGGGCTTCCCTGGTGGCGCAGTGGTTGAGAGTCCACCTGCCGATGCAGGGGACGTGGGTTCATACCCCAGTCCGGGAGGATCCCACATGCGGCGGAGCGGCTGGGCCCATGAGCCATGGCCGCTGAGCCTGCACGTCCAGAGCCTGTGCTCCGTCCACAACAGGAGAAGCCACAGCAGTGAGGGGCCCGCGTACCGAAAAAAAAAAAAAAAAAAAAAAGGAAGTTTAGGCTAGAATTAAAATGGGGGGAGTTATCAGCACATCAGTAGTCATTAAAATCATAGGGGTAAATAAGACCTCTTACTGGGAGAAGACCAACACTGAAGGTGAAGGCGGCCAGTCACTATGATCCAGCAAGAAAGGTCTAAGCATGGACAGGGGGACAGGAGAGGGCGACAGCACTGAAACCAAGAGGCGAGAGTGTTTCAAGGGGTTGGATAGGTGTGAAATGTCAAAGGAAGAGCAGGGACAAGGCCTGAAAATGCCGACTGGTTTGGCAGCTAGGCCACTGATGAGCTCAAGAATATTTTAAGTAGAAATGACAGAGGCAAATAGATGTGGGTAAATTGAGGAGTGAAAGTGGGATGATGGGGAGAGAGTACAGCAGATTCCTTGAAAGCAACTCTGTTTCGAAGGGCTGGGGATAGCTTCAGTTTTCGGATATTAGATACCTGGGCACGTTCGTAGGTTGTGGGGCAAGAGCCAGAAGAGAGGAAAAGCTTGAAAGACAGGAGGAAGGAGGGAAGAGAGATGAAAAAGATCCTAGAGGAGCCTGAAGTAGATGGATGAAAAGCCCAAGCAAGGATCAGCCTTGAAAAGAGGAAGCACC